TTAATCATGTTTTATGGCTTATTTATTACCATTGGCTTAACTGTAGTAAAACCATAAGGGCTGGTATACCGTTTATGTTGAAATGTAGATCATATCTGCTTACACCACTGAACTGACGCTACATTCAGTAATTAAAACTGTTAATACCAATTAGGTCTCAGAATCATGCAGTGCTCTTCCCAACAATACGTAAAACAATACTTTAACTCAGTGCTGGAAATGGGCAAGATTCTCTGGGGGTACTCAAGTTGGGGGCATATTTTACTACAGATGCAGAAATCCCACTATATGTATGAAAATGTACTCCCTGGACTTTGTGTCCCCTCCCCCATTTCCAGCCCTGATTTAACTAACTCAATTTTGAAGATCGCATATTTCTATTAGATCCTGCTGCTAAAAGGTTAGATTAAGCAATCAGTAGACAGATGGAATCATGCATGTAGTACTACTGTAGTAGTGCAATTACTACTCTGATTACTTTTCAGGAGCAGGCTCATCAAGAGCGATTGCAAACTGCCTTGAAAAACTTGCTGGATTGTGTGGAGGAAGCACGGCACACCCCCACTGGTACTCCCACTCAGCCAAGACTTATAAGAACAGGTTCTAATGGACCTGCTGGTGCCTTACATACAGGAAACAATGCAATTTGTGGAATGTCAAGTGTTTCTGCTGAAAAAAATACAAATAAGCCTTCACCAACTGTCAACAATGAAATGCAAAGGTTAGCTCCTAATGTTAATTGAATAATTTAACAGAGCATGAAACTTCTTCATCATTTACTCACCCACATGTTTTTCCAAACTTGTATGACTTTCTTCTGTGGAACACCAAATAAGATATATTTAAGATTATTTAAAAAATATACTTTGGTCACCATCTACATTAAATACATGAACAAAAAAAGTTGAGACCATTCAGCTAAATACTTTATTTTTTTTGTTTTGCAGAAGAAAGACTGACATGAGTAAATAATTAGTGAATTTTCATTTTTGGCTGAACGCTTTAATGCTAAAAAACAGGGGTCTCCAACCATGCTCCTGGAAAGCGACTGTCCGGCAGCGTTCAGCTCCACTTCTAATCAAACACACCTGTACCAATTAATCAAGTGGTCCCGGGTTACTTGAAAATGACAGACAGGTGTGTTGGAACTAAAGTATGTATGAAGGTAGCCCTCCAGGAACAGGGTTGGGGATCCCTTCTATAAACATACATTATTTAGTAAAAAGGTTGTATTGTTTTTATGTTTTTTTTGCTTATCTCACTGTACACAAGTGTTATAATTTTAATAAGCTGATTTCTTTTTTTGACCGATCATTCCCTGGACTGTTTTTAAAAAACAAGTTAAACGTCGTTTTCAGGAAACAAAATCAACACGAAAGGTCTCCATCCAATTCTTTCTGCTCCCAGAGCACAGTGACCAAACTCCAAAGGGGAGAGAGGAACTTAGACTGCTTCAGGCAGGCCTTGGGCGAAGAGCTGTGTTGTTGCCAGAAAAATGTGACCACAAAGAAGTAGTTTCCCTGTTTTCACTGATCTGTTTTAAGCTGAATTCCTTATTCTTCATTTTCATTCTTAATTTAGATTGTCAGTGTCCTTGAAGAGGAGTTTCACAAAATGAAGCAGCTGTCTGGTGGTTGGCTTTGCTATAAAGCTGCAGGTATGGAAATTTGTTGATAAGCTTCATTGTATATTGTTAGTAATTGTAATAGCACGTTTAGCTATCCTTCAGCTACTTAAAGTGTTATAATGAAGTGACAAAGTGTTATTTAACAATAGAAGCAGCATGTTGTCAGTATTTCACAATGCATTAATTGTGTTTTCATGTTTTTCATTAGAATGTTGTTAATCGGAATATGTCAATGTAAAAATATTTCCCCGTGAGCTGAATCGCTACAACTACAGTGAATCAGGTTTGACTATAAGTGGGCTACAGATAGCTGCTCGGACTATGAGCTAAATCGTGGCTATGCACAGGCTACATATTGAACATGTCAAAGACATGAAACCAAACACCTTGTAAGCGTTGTTACTTTGCTTACATGATGGATTATCATACATCTCACAAGTTATTTTGCCAAAAAACGACATGAAACAAAATTCAAGGTTATTTGGGCTAGAAGTGGGTTACACATAGCCGGACTATATCTTACTATACTTACCGGACTATACTTAACCGAGACATTGAAATGACGGCTATTGCTTGCTGGGAAGTCATAATAAGCATATTTCCAGTACACACCTCAGGCTTGCACAGTATCGTCAACTCACTCATCAGAATCTTCGGTAATCCTCGGCAAACTTCGACAGTTGGTTGAACCGGCTCATTTGGTTCTTTTTGAGTTGGACGTGCTACTGCGGCTGTGCGTCCTGCATCATCAACCCGGAACTAATATTCGATTCAGTTCTATTTGTGAACTGGCTCGACCGGTTACTTCCTGAGAACCGGCTCAAAAAAAACATTCGTTCAAGAACCGAACATCACTAGTGATGGGAAGTTCGGATCATTTTACCGACTCGGACCTTTGAGTCTCGTTCAGCAAAAGGAACAAATCTTTTTTCGAGTCATTTCATTAATTTTAGCAAAATATCATTAAAATGTTACGTGTTACTTCTCTAACACGTCTATTACTTACGCAAACGTTGATCACACCACAAACAATACAAAACTCTTAATGCTATAAGAAACAGAAAAGATTAATTCAATGTTTATCCTGGGTATTCAGTCTATGATTAGCTCACCTCACCTCTTATCTGACAAGTCTTCGGGTTAAAAAACAAGGTAAACATCATTTTCAAGAAACAAAATGAACATGAAAGGTCTCCATCCATTTCTTTCTGCTCCCAGAGCATAGTGACCGAACTCCAAAGGGGAGAGAAGAACTTAGACTGCTTCAGGCAGAAGAGTTGTGTTATTGCCGGAAAGCTGTGGTCACAAAGAGCTAGTGTACCTAGTTCACTCTGTTTTCACTGATCTGTTCAGCTGAATCCCTTATTCTTCCTTTTGATTCTTAATTTAGGTTGTCAGTGTCCTTGAAGAGGAGTTTCACAAAATGAAGCAGCTGTCTGGTGGTTGGCTTTGCTATAAAGCTGCAGGTATGGAAATTTGTTGATAAGCTTCATTGCATATTGTTAGTAATTGTAATAGCACGTTTAGCTATCCTTCAGCTACTTAAAGTGTTATAATGAAGTGACAAAGTGTTATTTAACAATAGAAGCAGCATGTTGTCAGTATTTCACAATGCATTAATTGTGTTTTCATGTTTTTCATTAGAATGTTGTTAATCGGAATATGTCAATGTAAAAATAGTCTATTTTCTTTCAAAACAAGGTGGGTGTGGCCAGAGAAAACTGACTGTGGTGCCACCTGAGTCAGAGAGCTACACAGCAAAGTCTTTAAAAACAGCATCTAACAATGGCAAGATCACACTCTACATTGTACCGCTACAAGACACAATCGACACTTCGCCACTACCCCCACAAGCAGCTGAATTTGAGAAGATGCCCAAATCCATTTGTAAAAAATGTGGAGTTATGATGCCACTTCAAGTTTTGGCTTTGCACATTGAAAATTGTGCATTAGAGTCAGAGAATGCATATGTAAGTTTTTTAGTTTAAAGGTATAGAATTGCTGATAATTGACTATTCTTTAGGCACATTTTCCCCATTATGTTTTTTTTTTCTTAAAACAGGAAGAAAGTCAAGATGAGGACATCATTTATGTCAGTGAGGAAAAAAAGAACAAACCCAACATGGTTTGTTAAAACAAAGCATTTAAAAGTATAATAATGTTATTATTTTGAACACATTTAGAGCACATTGGATTTGCTTGTTATAGGAACTATGTCCAGTTTGTGGAAGGTCTTTTCCTGAAGACATGGTTGAATTTCACGCTAGTATCTGTGTAGATAAGTATGTTTAACATCAGTTTACACATACATGCTTTACTTTTCTTTACATATGTACAGTGCAGAAAAATGTTGAGTTGTACAAACACTTTACTGTCTGTTTATTTTTAAGCTGCTCTGCAGAAATGGAAATGTTTTCAGAGTGGAAAGAGGATGCTGTAGCCATCCAACAGGCGAGAAGGTGGCCTAGATGCTGTAGCCGGGCCATCCAACAGGCGAGAAGGTGGCGAGGATGCTGTAGCTGGACCATCCAACAGGAGAGGCGGTGAGAATGTGGTTGCCGGACCATCCAACAGCAGAGAAGGTAACAAAGATGCAGGGAAAGAATGACATTGTTAAGAAGATGAAGACATATAATTCACACAGTAGCAAGCAGAATGTTTTGTTTTTGCTTTACTTTAGATTGGAAGATGATTACCGATCCAAAAGAGGCTGCAGATGTCTATTGAAAACAACTACTAATTACTGAAGAGCAGGAACAACCCTTGCATTTCACCTTGGATCTCAGGGAAGACCTGGAGGAGCAGGATAGAGAGATAATTTCTTTGTACAAGCGACCAAATGTCAACTGGGCTAGGCCATTTTCTTGTATGCTGAGAGGTAGGAGGATGCTGTAGCCAGGCCATCCAACAGGAAAGTAGGTGGCAAGGATGCTGTAGCTGGGCCATCCAACAGGCGAGAAGGTGGCCTGGATGCTGTAGCCGGGCCATTCAACAGGAAAGTAGGTGGCGAGGATGCTGTAGCCGGGCCATTCAACAGAAAAGTAGGTGGCGAGGATGCTGTAGCCGGGCCATCCAACAGGAGAGGTGGTGAGAATGTGGTTGCCGGACCATCCAACAGCAGAGAAGGTAACAAAGATGCAGTAAAAAATGACAATGTTAAGTAGATAAAGATATATAATCCACACAGTAGCAAGCAGAATGCTTTGTTTTTGCTTTACTTTAGATTGGAAGATGATTACCGATCCAAAAGAGGCTGCAGATGTCTTCCGAAAACAACTACTAATTACTGAAGAGCAGGAACAACCCTTGCGTTTCACCTTGGATCTCAGGGAAGACCTGGAGGAGCAGGATAGAGAGATAATTTCTTTGTACAAGCGACCAAATGTCAACTGGGCTAGGCCATTTTCTTGTATGCTGAGAGGTAGGCCCTAATATATTTTTTTCTATAGTTCGGGTCATTACATTGTACTTGTAACACTGGCAAATATAAACTTATAAAAACAAATGCAGTGCTTCGTGTTATCTGCCATATTTTATTTCTGTAATTGTCTCTAATCTGTACATATCACACTATCCAAAAAATGTAGTGCAGAATATTAATTTATGTGATGCCTGGTATGTTCACTGAAAAGCATTGCCTTTGTAGTCTCCATGAAATCAAAATAAAAGTTTTGTGGTTTTTAGTATCGGTATGTTAGCCTTAAGGTTATTTAAAAGCTAGTGTGATTCAAAACAGTCTCCCTTCCACCAATAACATTTCTTCTTATCAAATTTCCTATCCATTCAAACAAAAAATTCAAATGAAATTCAGAAGGCAATTTAGTGGGACCTTAAAGGTCCCATGACCTGCTGCTTTTTAGATGCTTTTATATAGGCCTAAGTGGTCCCTAGTACTGTATCTGAAGTCTCTTTCCCGAAATTCAGCCTTGGTGCAGAATTTCAGCCACTACGAGCCAGTCCCACAATGAGCTTTCCTTAGGACGTGCCATTTCTGTGTCTGTAGCTTTAAATGCTAATGAGGAGGAGAGAGGCGGGGCAACTGCCATGCTTCGCTCATTTAAAAGCCATGATGTCTCTCGAGGGAAAAAAAAAATATTGCGCTCGCCTCGCACGGTAGCTCATTTTCTCATGGGCGGGCCAAATTCTCTGTGCGGGCAAAGCAGAGAAAGGGGAGGTAACCTTTCCCCATATGACGACATAAAGGAAAGATTCCAGATTGGGCCATCTGAGCTTTCATTTTCTCAAAGGTGAAGCAGGATACCCAGGGCTCGGTTTACACCTATCGCCATTTCTAGTCACTGGGGGACCATAGGCAGGCTAGGGGAACTCATATTAATGTTAAAAAACCTCATAAAGTGACATTTTCATGCCATGGGACCTTTAAAGGTTTAAAAATATAGAATGCAATAGAGAATTTTTTTTTAAATTATTTGTGGGTAAACTAACCCCTTACTGTCATGTTTAAGGTGATGCCGCCACAGGTGAAGGGGTGAGCCATCAAATTCTTAGTACTGCAGTCCTAAAACTGATACAAGGCTTCAGGATAAACTTTGGTAAGATGTGTTATATTTGACACTGTCTGTGAAATACAGGCTAACGTCTCGTAATCTAATTATGTGATAACGAGCATCAGAATTAGATTTTCATTCATTTCACTATGATTTCGATCTTTGACATGGTCTTACTCCGTCAATATTAAAGATATCAAGGTTATGTTTTCACAGAATGTTCTTCATGGTATGTAAGATTATTGTACATAGAAAGTGATATAATCACACAACTTGTGTTTTCAAAGGCAGTGTCACTAATGTTTGATTCCAATGACAATGTTGACATGCACACAAAAATAGAACAAATCAATATGAATGTATCAATTTTATAAGTGAACATTTATATATTATAGTTCTTGTGTGAGGAAAATACTGAATTTCAATGCTTTCTTCAGGTAACACCGACACAACCTTATTATTTGAGGGTGAGTCAGATCATCTTGTGCCCTCTACATCCCAAATTCTTGTGGAAAGTGACATGTTCCTGATGGCTGGTCACTCCTTCATCCATGGTGGTCCTTGTATCACTGCAGGACTGATCCCTGACAAACATGTTTTACTTGGGCGGCCAGCTGAAACAGCCACAATTCAGCTACAAGACTGCCCAGACCTAGATCATCGTGCAACTATACAGTTGGTATGCAGAGGTTTTCTTTTAAATCACTTGCATGTCATTTGTATGATTTATTTGTTTTATTTAAAAATAAAACCGTTTCCAACAGCTTGAGGGAGATGATGAACTTTCAGATCAGGATAAGGCCTTCCTAGACTTGGCTCTGTCATGGGACCGCCCTGGTGTCACAAACAACAATAGACATTGGCTGTTCAACCGACTCCTGCATCATGCCGTCATTTTTTTTCTTCCTGTTGTCCTCCACAATTTTAAAAGCAATTTTTTTTCTCTAAACAATTTACATCATTCATAAAATGTTTACAGTTTATTGTAGTTCATTTATTGTATTCTATCTTTTACAGTAGTGTATAAAGTTTACAGAAGTGTGATTATTTGTATGTAGGCCTACTCTCTTTAAGAGTAGTTTAAAAAGCATCATATCCAAATATGAATATTTACTTGATTATCTATTGTTGATGTTTTACAGGTCCTCGGAAGGACCATTCGTCAAATGAAACAATTCAGACGTGGTTTAAAGGACACAAAAGTTTGGTCACTGCTGCAAGAACGTCCAGATGTTGTCCCTTTGCTCTTCCCCAGAAACTCAGAAGCTGCCTGCTGTGCTCAGGTTTTACATAAATTGTTGTTCAGTATTGGATAAAGTTACATTAATTTTTAAATGTTTAATGTCTTTTTAACCTTATTCAGACTGTTCTGGATAATATCATATGGCCTGCTGAGGAAGAGGATGATGATGATGATACATACCCACTTCACATAAAATGTTGCATTGCAGAGTACCTCCGTAGTTTTATTGAGAGTGGTATGACATATTCTTTAGGTTGAATTTAGGTTTGTTTCAAAAAAAGAATACAACAAATGTGTTCACTAGAACTTGTTTGCTTTTCTGCCTTAGCACGTGTAGGCAAACTTCAACAACTTGTAAAGTTCTGGGTTGGATGGGAGCTTCCTTCAGCTGGCATGAAGGTTAAAGTGGTCTGTGCTGATCATCCAAGTTCATCAACATGCTTTCAAATCCTCCGACTGCCTGGCCTCTACAGTACATTTCAGGAGTTTACTATGCATCTGGAAGCCTGTATTGCAACATGTGACACTGGATTTGGTTTGATCTAAAGGGGACAATCTGTGCCACTTATGAATTAGTGTAAGGTTCCTAGTTTGCCAAACATTCATAATGTGCTAGATTGTAGAGTTCAAATTGTGTTCTACAAACAACCCCACCTGATAAGACTGTTCCAAAACAATTACTAGTGTTGAATGGCTTAATATGTTTAAAAATACATTCATTTTCATGTCAATGTTATTGTGATTCATGTCACATAAATCAGCCGGTTCATCAATTTGCTAATCTTTAGCATAAATGTTACTCCGGAAGAAATTGTTCGTAGACAGATCTACAAAGATCCTCACCTGTTTATGCCGTTCTGGCTCGATCATTTACTAGGCAGTAGCAGAACTGTGAATAGCTTAAAATACATTTCTGTGACTCCATGTTATTGTTCATTATGAATGAATGTTAATATGTTGTGCAGCATAGTGTACAACTAACAAACTAAAATATTTCACAAACGTTATTTCATTTAAACTGCATTCAGACATTATGCAGATGTTAAGGCATACGGTTTTATGAAATACCAGATTTTTTCTTGAACTCACATTCTTTACATATAAACAGAGAAATGCTGTTGCACATATTCTGAATAAGATTAAACGGACATTTTAAAATAAATGTAATTTTATCCAATACTGAATTTGTTCCGTTTCTGGGGAAGAGCAAAGGGATAACATCTGGACGCTCTTGCAGAAGTGACCAAACTTTTGTATCTTTTAAACCACGTCTGAATCGTTTAATTTAACAGACGTGCAGATGTCAAAAGGTGTAGTTTTATGAAATACCAGATTTTGATACCTTTTTTTAACTCGCATTCTTTACATATAAACAGAGAAATGCTGTTGCACATAGTCTACGACTGAAATATAAATGCCACTGCCAAAACAATCTGATGGTCCCATCGGATCTATCGCAACCGTAAGTTCCCCTTCTGCCTCTGCAGTTAGCGGGCACTATTTCTGGTACTTGGATACCTGAGTTAGGTTCTTGTGGTAAGCCACTGCTTTCCCAGTCAATCAAGGGAATGTGGATGTCCTATGTCGAGGAGATAAAATATATCTTAACCTTTATCACACAATAATAATTGAAATATGTCATGTAGTCCTGCCATGTGTGAAACTTTTTAACTTTGTTAATTTTCAATTCT